GGGATTTGGGGGGGGGAAATGGGGGTTTGGGGGGGAAAATGGAAATTTGGGGGTAAAAATGGGATTTTTGGGGAGGGGGGGAAATGGGATTTTTTAGGGGAAAAATGTGAATTTTAAGGGGTTAAAATGAGGGCTGGGGGTTAAAAATGGAAATTTGGGGGGTAAAATGAGGATTTTTGGGGTGAAAAATGGGATTTGGGGGGGTTAAAAACAAATTTAGGGGGGTAAAATGAGGATTTAGGGGGGGAAAATGGAAATTTGGGGGTTAAAATGGGATTTGGGGGCATTTTGGGGTGAAAAATGGGATTTTGGGGGATAAAAATGAGGATTTTGGGAGGGAGCGGGGGAGGATTTGGAGCTCCGGGGATGGATGTGGGAATGGAAAATTGGATTTGGGAATTGGGGGAGTTCTGGGGAGTTCCAGGTGCGTTTTTAGGCATTCCAGATGTGTTTTTAGGAATTCCAGATGTGTTTTTTAGGCATTCCAGGTGTGTTTTTAGACATTTTAGGTGTGTTTTTAGGCATTCCAGATGTGTTTTTAGGCATTCCAGGTGCGTTTTTAGACATTTTAGGTGCATTTTTAGGCATTCCAGATGCGTTTTTAGGCATTCCACGTGTGTTTTAGACATTCCAGATGTGTTTTTAGACATTCCAGGTGCGTTTTTATGCATTCTAGATGTGTTTTAGGCATTCCAGATGCGTTTTTAGGCATTCCAGATGTGTTTTTAGGCATTTTAGGTGCATTTTAGACATTCCAGATGTTTTTAGGCATTTTAGGTGCATTTTTAGGCATTCCAGATGTTTTTTAGACATTCCAGATGTGTTTTTAGGCGTTCCAGGTGTGTTTTTAGGCACTTCAGGTGCGTTTTAGGCACTTCAGGTGCATTTTAAAGAACCCCAGATGTGTTTTTAGACATTCCAGGTGCATTTTAAGGAATCCCAGGTGCATTTTAGGAATTTCAGGTGCATTTTAGGCATTTAAAATACACTTTCAGGCATTCCTGGTTCATTTTTAGGAATCCCAGGTGTGTTTTTAACCACCCCAAGGACATTTTTAACCACCCCAGGTACAATTTTCGGCATTCCAGGTGTGTTTTAAGGAATCCCAGGTGCGTTTTTCGGCGTTCCAGATGTGTTTTTTGGCATCCCAGGTGCATTTTAGGAATCCCAGGTGCATTTTAAAGAATCCCAGATGTGTTTTTAGGCGTTCCAGATGTGTTTTTAGGCGTTCCAGGTGCATTTTTAGGCATCCCAGGTACGTTTTGAGGCATTTTAGGTGCATTTTTAGACGTTCCAGATGTGTTTTTAGGAATTTCAGGTGCATTTTAGGAATCCCAGGTGTATTTTTAACCACCCCAGGTACATTTTTAGGTATTCCAGATGTGTTTTTAGGAATTTCAGGTACATTTTAACCACCCCAGGTACACTTTTAGGCACCCCAGGGACATTTTTAGGTATTCCAGATGTGTTTTTAGGAATTTCAGGTACATTTTAACCACCCCAGGTACATTTTTAACCACCTCAGGTGCGTTTTAGACATTCCAGGTGCGTTTTTAGGTGTTCCAGATGTGTTTTTAGGCACCCCAGGTACATTTTTAGGTATTCCAGATGTGTTTTTAGGAATCCCAGGTGTATTTTTAACCACCCCAGGTACACTTTTAGGCACCCCAGGTGTGTTTTAGGCATTCCAGGTGTGTTTTTAGGAATCCCAGGCACATTTTTAAGAATCCCAGGTGCATTTTTAGGCATCCCAGGTGCATTTTGAGGCATTTTAGGTGCATTTTTAGATGTTCCAGGTACATTTTTAGGTATTCCAGATGTGTTTTTAGCCACCCAGGTACATTTTTAGGTATTCCAGATGTGTTTTTAGCTACCCAGGTACATTTTTAACCACCCCAGGTACATTTTAACCACCCCAGGTGTGTTTTTAACCACCCCAGGTACATTTTTATCTGTCCCAGGTACATTTTTAACCACCCCAGGTGTGTTTTTAACAACCCCAGGTACATTTTTATCTGTCCCAGGTACATTTCTAACCACCCCAGGTACATTTCTAACCACCCCAGGTGTGTTTTTAACCACCCCAGGTGTGTTTTTAACCACCCCAGGTACATTTTTAACCACCCCAGGTGTGTTTTTAACAACCCCAGGTACATTTTTAACCACCCCAGGTGTGTTTTTAACCACCCCAGGTGTGTTTTTAACCACCCCAGGTGTGTTTTTAACCACCCCAGGTACATTTTTATCCGTCCCAGGTACATTTTTATCCATCCCAGGTACATTTTAACCATCCCAGGTACATTTTTAACCACCCCAGGTGTGTTTTTAACCACCCCAGGTACATTTTTAACCACCCCAGGTGTGTTTTTAACAACCCCAGGTACATTTTTAACCACCCCAGGTGTGTTTTTAACAACCCCAGGTACATTTTTAACCACCCCAGGTGTGTTTTTAACCACCCCAGGTGTGTTTTTAACCACCCCAGGTACATTTTTATCTGTCCCAAGTACATTTTAACCAAGCCAGGTGTGTTTTTAACCACCCCAGGTGTGTTTTTAACAACCCCAGGTACATTTTAACCACCCCAGGTGTGTTTTTAACCACCCCAGGTGTGTTTTTAACCACCCCAGGTACATTTTTAACCACCCCAGGTGTGTTTTTAACCACCCCAGGTGTGTTTTTAACCACCCCAGGTACATTTTTATCTGTCCCAAGTACATTTTAACCACCCCAGGTGTGGTTTTAACCACCCCAGGTACATTTTTAACCACCCCAGGTGTGTTTTTAACCACCCCAGGTACATTTTTAACCACCCCAGGTGTGTTTTTATCCACCCCAGGTACATTTTTAACCACCCCAGGTGTGTTTTTAACCACCCCAGGTGTGTTTTTAACCACCCCAGGTACACTTTTGAGGTGCCTGAGGTGCTTTTGCCATCGCCAGGTGTCGAAGGCGGCGGCGGAGCTGCTGAGTTACTGCGAGGCTCACGCCTGCGAGGATCCGCTGCTCACGCCCGTCCCCACCTCCGAGAATCCCTTCCGCGAGAAGAAATTCTTCTGCGCCCTCCTCTGAGCCCCCCAAAAATATTGGGGGGGACCCCCAAAATCCTTCAGGCCGACCCCCTTCAATTGAGGGTGGATTTCAGCCCCAAAAATGAGGCGGAAAAGGAGGGGGGTGGGGGTTGATTCGGGGCTTTTGGGGTCCCCCTCGCAGCTGGGACCGCCCCCCTAAATTTGGGGAGTCCTGGGGTGGTCCCAGCTCAGAGCTGGGGGGGTTTGAGGGGGTTTTTTTGGGGGGTTCCCCCACCCCAAAAAAGGTTTTAAGAATGGACTCGGGGAAGGTTCTGGAATGGGGGGATGGGGGAGAGCCCGCC